CTCATCTCTCGTGGATGTAACATTCACTGGAAACAATTAACAAGAAGTATTACTGTTTAAAAAAGTTCAAATTTTCTCACCAATATATTTGGTTTTCTTGCGATATTCTGGAAGTTACAACAGCGCAAGCTTAATATAATGTGTATTAAATAATGTATATAATATAACGACCTCCACTATTGAACAAATTCTTCGTAATCCCCTCGAATTGTCCATAATAGTCAATGTAAAATATACGTTTACATTGCGAACAACCTCATTTACATATTCTAAACTATCAGGAAAAGTATATATACAGTGACTAAGTATAGATACAGTACCTTTATATAAAGTCCAATATATATAATATTAACAATGGCTCTTAAAGTCATACATTTTATAACGACAGATTTCGTTGCGCTATTGTTCGTAACACAATCATTGTTGTTTGATGGAAAGTAATGTAAAACTGCTGTCGTCACTATTAGAATAGAATAGAATAGAAAATCATTTATTCAAATAAACTTAATTTAAGCACTTTTGAATAGTAATTTTTTTTTAAATCTACCGCTTATTCGGAAAGCTGTCTCATCACAAGAAGAATAAGCAAGAAACTTGTGTGTTGCTCTTTTAAACAATCCTTGTAAGTTCACATTTTACAAGTCGAAACGTGTGAATACAGACTACCAACCAGCACTAATTTATTTAGGCTCAAATATAAAAACACAATAAGATTAAATCAGTCTAGTGATAAGAGCAGACCAGTCCCTACAAGCAGCACTCGTTCACGAGTATGACGGATGAGCTAGCCGTCACTGCGCTCGACCATATTTTAGGGAGCCCAATGACCCGGCCCACCACGCCGCCACATGTCTGGACATTTTAGTGAGCATGACTACTCATTCCACTCGACCACGTCACAGCTACAATTGTTAAAGATTCGAGTTGAAATGGCAACATAACAAACCTCAGTTCAACGGATTACTTGGTATACTGAACATTTTAATTTGTTATATCGAGGTTGCTCTGTATTAATATAATGCTTGGGGGGAAGTGGATTGTTGGTAATGTGGATTGATAACCCCATTGCTAGCAATGTACCATGTCAGGTCGACCTCCACGCGGTTCCCACTGGAAACCATCGTGTTAAATTCTTGATGAATTTGTCACGATGTGCTAACTGACCTGACCTCATGCTCATCTTGTCATCCTCCTCTGGTGCCCCGCCAGCGTAAACCGTTAGCGCAGGCGGGTGCACAATTCCATTATCATTATTTAAAAAATGCTTATTTTAAAACTGCATGCTAATATAATCCTTATTGGTTCCACTAGGATGTGAGCTTGTTTATGAGTTCTCTCAATATCTGCACGGTTAAACTAATCGTGTTGTTCTCTTGTATTTTTTTCATAATTTTATTCGTTTCTCTGTTGTGTTTAATTTGTTATTATATGATGATATTAACTACTTCAGCCGCGATTTGATATGGCTAAAGTTTAAAGTGTCCTAAAGTTCTCTGGAGGTAATGCTAATGTAGTATAGTACAGTACACCCAGTACTCGTGTATATTTGTGTCATAAAACACAGTGCGGCGCGGCCGGCGCGGCGCGGGCCGCCGGCGACCGTCCACACACTCGCAGCACGCAACAGGTGCTCCACAATTCTTCGTACACACGGACCGACATACAGACCGATAGTATGCAAATTTCAGACGAATTTCATGTACAATTTTCAAATGTGTATTACCACCTTAGTGTGGCAAAAAGTTATGTAGTGCTCGTTTTTATAAAATAGCTATTTTTTTACTACAACGATGGCAAACAAGCATACGGCCCACCTGATGGTAAACGGTTACCGTATTATTTGCTATTTCTTACTCACATATATTAAGTTGTGACTTTTAGCTGATAGTTTTATACAAAAGTATTTATGTATAAAAAAAACGGCCAGCAGTCTCACTATCTATACTGGAGTTCACCAAATTTTTCATAACGTTTAAAATTAAGTCAATATGTTGGGGCGGTATACCAACATGTTACGTTAACGTTGAAATGAATGTCAGATGTTACCGAAAGTAATAAGAGACGATGTTGTAAACAAATGCACCGACTCGTATGTAATAAAATGCAAATAATGATTGGCTTCACCTGTGTGCGAGTCGCGGCAGTAGGCGTCTAATAAACTATAAATATGTATACACGAATGTGTTTCGATGTTTCATCATCGCAGCCCGGAAGACGTCCACTGCTGAACATAGGCCTCCCCCAAACATCTCCACGACGATCGGTCCTGCGCTGCTCGCATCCAATGCCTTCCAGCGATCTTGACCAGATCGTCGGTCCACCTTGCTGGAGGCCTTCCCACGCTGCGTCTTCCGGTCCGTGGTCGCTACTCGAGGACTTTACTGCCCCAACGGCCATCTGTCCTACGAGCTTTGTGCCCCGCCCATTGCCACTTCAGAGTCGCAATTCTTCGTGCTATGTCGGTCACTCTGGTTCTTCTGCGGATCTCCTCATTTCTGATTCGATCACGCAGAGTAACTCCGAGCATAGCCCTCTCCATTGCCCTCTGAGTGACTCTGAGCTTGTTCATGGGGCTCATAGCGACCGCGTCTCTGTGCCGTAAGTTATCACTGGCATCACACATTGGTCGTAAACCTTCGTCTTGAGACACTGCGGAAATTTGGACGAAAAGATATATCGGAGCTTCCCGAACGCTGCCCATCCGAGTTGGATTCGACGATTGACCTCTTTCTCGAAATTGGATTGGATCGAATTTCGATGTTTACGTCGTAGTAAACTGGAGATTATAATAGTAATATTCCTGGACAATTCACACAGCGCCATTTAGGCCCACGGTAAGCAGAACTTGTGTTATGAGTACAAAGTCAAATACAAAAATTATTTATTCATGTAGGACATTTTAGCCGCTTGATGTCGTCGCTTGATGAATGTCAATTCATTTAAGTTATAATTTTTTCCCTGCTGTCCAGTTCAGTATGTAGATCCAATTGAGTAAAACTGGCAAGAAACTCAATTAAATTACTTTTTTTTAAAGCCAATTTATTTACAAAGTACTAGATAACTGATATAGGTAGGTAGATACCAATACAAACAATTATACTCATTAATATAAATGTTTGTACCGTGAGAGTAACAGAACCCGCGACAATCGCAAGTAAGGCGGTGTGATACACCGCTAGACCACTGAGGCTTCTTCTTTATTGTGTTTTAATTATATACCAGAAGATATTTATTAAAGAAAAAATTAAGAAAAATTACATCAGTACACCAATTCATAGTCGAGGTGTGACTGTAGCGTCGGTACACTATGTACTAGTACACTATATGTAAATATCATGCAGTCACTTTTTACAAACAATGTAACGTAATGCTGAGGTACGTATGGTACAGTTGCTGCCACCCTCCGTCAATATTTGCACACGAGCCGGCCGTTTCTGCGACGCGCAATTTTGGATTTTCAGCACCGTAAGCATATTTGCGCGGCGCACAACTTTTTCATGGATATGAACCAAAGGCGTTCTCTCCTTTATATATTATACAATTTAGAAACGTAATTTTATAGCCCGTATTAAATTTTCTTTTATATACAAGTCACCCACCCATCATACAGTTTAAACTTTTCGCAACTGAAAATACAAAATTCATAAATCGTTTATTCATGTAGGAACACTTTAGCCGCTTATGAACGGCCAATTTTTTTTATTATTTTGTCGTCCGTTCAGTATATAGAAGAATTGAGAAGAACTGGCAAGAAACTCAATGAAACAATATATACCTATATAGGTGTCTATGTCATTAAATGAAAATCCTGTACATGAACAACTATTGCTATGCATGTTGATCATTCAAGTAGTCATTTAACAACTGTTAATTCTATTTAATCGAATTAGGTGTTATTTTGCGGAAGTCCACTTCACTACACGACGGATTTATATTATTTTGTTTAATTCCGCTACAATTTATTAGCATGTGTGAGACCACAAATATTCGGTGTGGAAACCTGACCAGCGCTACGACCTTCTCTAATTGCGATCAAATTCCGACCGTTATTGAGTCTACACCCATATCGCGACACGTGTTTCGCCTCTGAACGAGGCATCATCAGGCGTTGAATAGAGTTCGGGTACAGCTCGGAAGCCTAGTGTTGACTCGTCAGCGACCAAAGCGTGTCGAGGTTTGGTCGTCGTCAAAATCCATCAAGTAGTAACTGTAAATTCATTTACAGTTATTTATTTATGCTGCAGGAAGTCTATTGAAATAGACCTATTGCCCGCTACTCCTCGATATGAAATTACAAATATATTCTCATACAAATAATCACTATATTCTCCCAAATTTGAATTTAAATGAATCTGTATTATTGTAAACATGTACAACATTTACTTGAAAAGAATATGAGCTGAGTTTCTTGTCAGTTCTTCTCATCTCGGAATCATTCCGAACTGACGGTAGATTTGACAAATCATAAGAGTCTGTAATAGATCTACATGAATAAATATAAAAAGATATTTTTGAAATTTCAATTATAAGAACATTTCCCAAAAATCTTAGGTACAGAGAGACACGGATGTAAATGTGGAGGTTCCTCACGATATTTACTCATCAATTAATCAATGCCAAGACACCTGAACATAAAATTAATGGCCAACAAGCTTAGATAACACAATGGTATACGACAGTCGAGGTGAGTATAATATAATTAGATATAAAACGCAGATTGTGATGATAATTTTTTTGTCAGTTTTGTAATGACTTAGTTTCTTGTCAGTTCTTCTCATCTCGAAAACATTCATTTAGACTCTTATGATATGTCAAAACTACTGTCAGTTCGGAATGATTTTGGGATGAGAAGAACTGTCAAGAAACTCAGCTCGTATTCTTTTCAAATAAATGTTACAATAATACAAATTCATTTTTAAATTCAAATTTGGGAGAATAGTGACCTGTAAAAAAAACAGTTCCGTGCTCTTTAATAATGACATGTTAAGTACGAGTGGTAACTAGGTGGTAGCACTCACGTTGGCGCGCCGAGCGACGGCAGCGGCGGCGGGGGCGCCGTCGGCGGCGAGCGGCGGCCGCGCGCCCGGCGTGCGACTGCGTCGCGGGGGCTCCTCTGTCGCCAATTATTGTATATTTAAAACCACTTCCGCAATTGTAAGACTTATCACACTAAATTAGAAGTAGACCATAAGATTAGGATTATACACTTGATTAAAAAGAAACATCAGAATCGTCGCATAGGTATATGTGAAGACCTAGCGAATGTGTACAAAGTTACATTCAAATGGAAAGAAGTGATTTTAAATTGAGAAAACAAAATTTTTTTAAAATTTTTAATATGGTTTTTTAACCGATCTCAAAAAAGAGGAGGTCTTTTGACATCGGTTAAAAAACAATATTCAAATTTGAAAAAAAACTTTGTGTAGGCTACTGACATCACAAGTAAAAGCTACCAGTAATATAGTAAAAGTTGGGTTGGAAAGATTATTTTTGGTTACTTTCACACAAAAAAGTATTGAACGAACCTTGTTGACATTGTACAGTATTTCTTTTAAATAGTATAATAAAGGTAGTAACGTACGATGTCGGTCGCACAGCGGCTGCGGGTCGGGCGTGCGCGCGCGGCGCGGCGCCGGCGCGGGCAGCGCCAGCAGCTGCCGGTACAGCTCCAGCTCGTGGTAGAACTCGCCCGAGTCGGGGGAGCCCGCGCCGCCCTCAGCCGGCTCGTCAGCCGGGGTGGCGGGGCCCGCGGGGCCCGGGCCGGCGGGGGGCGCGTGGGGCGCGTGGGGCGCGGGGGGCCCGTGGGGCGCGGGCCGCACCTCGGCCGTGAGCCCGTTGAGCACGAGGCGGCGCGCCGCCATCGCGCCCGCGCCCGCGCATCCACCGCGCGCTCACTCGCTCCCCGTCACTTCACTCCGACACCATCGCCCTAGCGATATCGAGCACGACCCGATCCTAGAAGCTGGATCCGGTATACTTTTCGCAAGTTTCTACTTGTATTGTTCCAACACTTCACTTTGTTATTATTCATACAAAAACTTTAATCCCGCTAATTAAAAAGCGACTATACACTTCTGCTTTACTCTTATTTTCTAAATATATGTCATGATATATGTCACGAATATTTGACGGAAACTCGAGAAAAAGTCAGCGGGAAGGTTTGGCGCGCGCGACGTGTTCCAACTCGAGCCGGCGACGCGTGTCGGCACCAGCGGGAAATCATGAACGACTCACTCGAGTGGCGAACTACGCCGGACTGGCCGACCGCGGGACCGCGTAGCCGTAGCGCGGCGTAGTCGTTCGTAGAACTACCAGAGATTGTCAGAACTACGGCACTGACAACAATATTTCAGATGTTGATGTCATAAAATAGAATTTAATCTCATCACTCGTCTATACAGTACAGTGTAGAACTACAGTCAATTAAAATGTAAATGTCTATCATGAATAATAATAATTATTATTATTACTACATATATATATATATATATATATATTTATTATATCTCCCTTTTTACGGGGGTAATATATTCAAACACGCGGGTCTTAGCCAAGCATGGATGAGTTATGTGATGAAGATAGAAATTTTCTGACTATTCGGCATGTGTTTAGTATGACGGCTTTTTGTAATAGGTCTATTGTAGAGGAGGGGATATATTATTGTTATTCTTTATTTTTTCGCAGCTATTGCTGGTTATTATTATTATTATTATTATTATTATTGTTAATCTATTGTAAAAAATTGTTAGCGAATTAGAGAATATAAAAATGTCGTGGGGTAATAATACGATGTTGACATCACAGGCGATAAAAGACTGACAAAATGTACAATAAAATATTGGTCTTATATACTAAATGACAATAGGAAAATGTAAGGTGACACAGTTTAGACACGGCATTGCTATTGAGTTTGTCTTACGAGGCATATTTAATTACAATTACAATACTGATCTATTGTATGTAGATACGTCAGTAACTGTGTCCCATAACCTACTTAAAGTATTAAGAATGTGTTTCACGAACATTATGATTATGACTTCTATTTAAAGCCAACTTTATAATAATAATAATATCTCAGGTCAATGTACACAGCGCCATCTAGCCCCAAGCTAGGCAGAGCTTGTGTTATGGGTACTAGACAACTGATATAAATACATGGATACATTTTTCTTTTAAATAAATACATATTATACATACACTAGACCACCAAGGCTGTCAAATGATACAACACTTGAGATAGTCTGTAGAAGGATGTCTGTTAGAATATTTCAGTGTCATTTATTGCAGCCTCCAAGCTGCTTACTTGGAAACTGTTACAGTTGAAGGGAGCAATTTGTTAAGTTAATCCTCTGAAACTGCAACGCATGAGTTATGTGAAGTCAAGTCACATATTAATGTGCTGTCTGATATTATTTAGAACTATTCTGTTGGCTGCAGCTGGCTTGTACAGCTTCATCATACGATAGGGGTGGAGTGTAGTTTTCTAATCAGTCAAATTCAAATTAAAAAATCATTTATTCATGTACGACATTTTAGCCGTTTATGAACGTCAAGTTTTTATATTATATTTTTTTTCCCTACCGTCCAGTTATATAGATCCAAATGAGAAGAACGGGCAAGATACTCAATTGAATTACTTTTTTTTTTAAATCCAGTTTATTTACAATGCATAGGTATTTATATAGGCGTCTATGTCTAACATTAAATGAAAATCCCGAACATGAAAACTATTGCCATGCACGCTCGTCATTCAAGTAATCGTTTAGTGAGTAATAGGCATTGCTCAGTAAATATGATTTAACAGATGTTTTGAATTTATTTAAGGGTAATTCCAATATATCCTTTGGTATCTTATTGTAAAATTGTATACCTATTCCCATAAAAGACCTATTGACTTTTTCTAAACGATATTTGGGGACAGTCACGAGGAACTATCGTAATAAGTATGTACCGTATTATGTAAAATACGACTGACCGCACGACTGACACCACCGACGGCCTGTGGTCTAGCGGTTTAGCACACCGCCTTACTTCTGATGGTCGCGGGTTCAACTCCTCGCACGGCACAAACATTTATATTCATGAGTATGATTATTTGTATCGGTCTGGGTGTTTTCTATATAAAATATGTATGTATTTACGAAAAATACATATATATATCTAAGTATTTGTATCAGTTATTTAGTACCCATAATACAAGCTTTAGCTAGCTTAATTTGGGTCTAGAATGCGCTGTGTCAAATGTCCAAGGTTATAGGGTTATCTCGGAAATATTTCAGAAGTTTATTAGTTAATTCTTGTAGTACAGATTTCTCTATTATGAATTTCGATAACTTGAGTTCTGCAAAAACCTCCCGCCTGTTGAAAACCGGAGAGAAGTAATGAGAACAGCCTGTGGTGCTGTCGCCTGTTGTAGTCTCCTGGATAAATTATCTATTAACGTACAGCGACGTACCACAAAGCATAATCCTCTTTTATGTGTCATCAAATTATAAACGAAATTAATTCCTTTGACGAGCTAACAACTATTTTAGTGGTCCATCTAAAACTGGTAATTTGGATTTAGTTTCTAAGAACATTAAATCGACGAAACACCAATTGAGTACCCTGTATAAAAACAAATCAGGTACATATATATACACACTTTAAACAATAAATTCATTAATTATTTTTTACTTTAATCTTGTTATTTTCCTACCACTTTGTAATCTTGTAATTCTTGTTGCCCTTATATGTAGTGATGTCAAATTGTACGCTATTATTCTGTTACTATTTGTGAAAACATATATATAATAGTACAGGGTTGGTTCTCCTATAATAAATAAATAAATAAATAATGCGATTGTTCGTAGGTATTCTTGTATTCCTGATATTTCGACAATGTTTTTTCGATTTTACAATTTCGACAGATCACGGGTAAACTACAGCGGGGAGTGGATCCTAAAATGTTACCGAGGTAGTTTGAACAAAGCAGTGTTAGCAGTAATTAATTACTTTTCTAAACAATTAATTTAATTTATTTCGAATTAATCATCATGATCAAAATCACCATCTACATCTTCGACCTCATCATCATCGACATCAACGCCTAAATAATTACCAGCGTCATCATCGATGTTGTCATCACTATCACCATTACCCTCATCCACATCAACAAAAGTTTTTGAAGGATCAACAAGCTGCTGGTTCACGTCCACCATACACACAAGTACTGCTGACTGACGCGTACATACTTACGTTGTTATCACATCGTATCACTGGTACTATAATACTAGGTTATTGTGTGATGGGACACAGTTATCTAGATACATCAATATAATAATCGCAATTAGAAATTGGACAACATCGTATTATTACGCGCAACAGGGGTGACCCCGACGTGATCCGGTCGGCAACGAGACGATACCTGGAAAAACGACGAGATCAAACATGAGATCTCTGTCTGACGGCATCCTACGCACCACCAACAATTGCATATTCATAACTCATGCCTCGTCAGACTGGAGAACTGGGATGTCACTCAATACACCAATACAATAGGTAATAAAATTAATAATTAAGATTTTTAATAGTACTCATCTCAACTTTGATTATGATTACTTGATTATTAACTAAACTTTTTATTATGATTTTTAACCATTATTTTTAATCGTTAACCAAATTAACTTTCGGCCGACACTGGTACAAAGTCATGAGGTGTGTTTCGTCGACTACTACCACTCACAACTTGCTCTGTAACCTGTGTTCTAGGTTGATGATGGAAATATGGTAATATATTACAGGACGTCAAGAAGACAACCCATTCAGGTTCATTTAACTAACCTACGTTAGGTAGTACCTACGCCGCGGCACCGAATAAATAAAACTAGTGATCACGAATTACTCATATTTAATAATAATAACTCTTTATTGCGTACAGAGAAACAATAAAAGAACAATAAAAGTACATTATTAAGTGTTTCACAATAGGCGTTCTTATCGCTATATAGCAATCTCTGACAAGCAACAGGTATTGACAGAGGCTATGTACAAAATGAGAGAGAAGGAAGGAGCCGCACACTAGATACTACATTTATTAAACGCTTACAATATACCAACATTTACTTCTTATTTATAAGCATAAATGAATAAACTTATAGACTAATACATTTTATTCACTACATATTGACTGAGAACAAAAATAAAATTAGGTATAATTCAATTACAGGAAGAGGTGAGGAGATTTTAGTCAATTAGGACAAGGAGCTCCATAGACGAATAGCTTGGACAGTGAATGAATTGATGTTTAAGTGTGAAGAGTGGAATGGGAAGGTTCAACTTGTACGTAATTCAGAGCCCGTATTTTTTATATGGAATTGAAATTTCTTTTTAAATTATTCACGAGTATGAGATTGAAATGAAAAAAAAAATACTGTAATGGATGAATACGAATACTAATTTGAATGCATATTTTCTAATGTAACACGCGAAGAATTCGTAGACAACATTTTAGCACTGTAGTATTTGTCACTGGTACCACCATCACTCTCCGATTGAGCTATCGCAGACTCGGTACCAAATTCTTTCTTTCTTACTTCTTGATTTGGTTTTTGTCTGTTTTTAACCACTTACAAATGACTGAACTTTTACTCGGTTTTAGACTTTAGACTCTGTATAAACTAATTAAAGATTAAAAGGTTGTTTGTTATCATTTCACTGTCGTATAATTTTCAATTCTTGCGGTTCGAACGAGTAATTTACTTCCGTTTTGGAATCAGTAGCGGTCGCCGCTCTCGCCGCCGCCCGCTGCACTGCGATGCGATCGAAACGGCGCAAACGTAACAGATCGATCGCAAACCGTCATTCGCTCGTCGCGACGTCGTCCCACGAGAGATCGTTCACTACGCACAAGCAGCAGCGGCGGACGCACTCGTAGAGGAACACCGCGCACATGCTGCACGCCTCGACGAGCAGCGCGAACAGAAACGGATGCGTGATATTCTCGGCCCCGCGCCGAGCTCGGCCCGCGGCCGGCGACCACTACACGGCCGACAGCAGCCCCTGCAGCCGCCGCGGGTCCAGCCCGGCCGCCGCCGCGCGCGCCAGCGCCCGCGCCTGCGACGGCCACCCGTGCGCCAGCAGCGCCGCCAGCGCCGCCGCCGCGCACACGCCCGCCGCCAGCGGCAGCAGCGCGCCCGCGCGGCGCGGCGCCGGCGCGCACCCGCCCGCGCCGCCCGCGCCGCCCGCCGCCAGGTGGTGCGGCGGCAGCAGCTCGCGGTCCGCGCACGCCGCGCACGCGCCGCCGCCGCCCGCGCCCCGCGCGCCGCCCCGCGCGCCCCCCGCCGCCTGCACGCACACCCACACACACACACACTCACACGCAGCTCGCGGTCCGCGCACGCCGCGCACGCGCCGCCGCCGCCCGCGCCCCGCGCGCCCCCCGCCGCCTGCACGCACACCCACACACACACACACTCACACGCACGCCGCCCTCACACACACACACACACACACACACACACACACACACACACACACACACACACACACACTCACACAGCTACTACTATCATTTTGAAACTAATCATTCACGCCATCATCATCAATAAACACTATTGACGACATCCTCAAAAATCTTAGACATTAATATTCTCATCATCAAAATTATAATTATCATCATTGACATATCATGTATGCAACGATATCATGTACATAGCAAAATAAAATTAATATAGAAATAATATTATGACAACTTTTGGTTTGGAAGCATCTGTGTTTTTAATCCTCTTTAATTTGTCTAGTATCATACCTAAATATGTAACATACAATGGGTGGAACAATCTTTCATTCTAATTTCTCTAGTGGGCAAAGATCGCTTGCTCGCAAACATAAAGGCTTCCGTTTTAGTACTATTCAATTTAAGTTTCCATTTAACGAGGTACTTATTAATTATTTTCAGCGCTAGTTGAAATCGGCCGATAATAAGATATAATCATGATCGAAATTAAATTAATGTATTCATTAAAACAGTGACCGATCACTGTCAACACCGGCGCACCCACTCACCTGCCAGGCGACGGCGAGCAGCCGCAGCGCGCCCTCGGCGTGGCGCCAGTGCCGCAGGTGGAAGAACGCGTACGCGACCGCCTCGCTGTCGCCGCGCTTCAGCACGTGCTCCGGCGGCAGCGTGAGCGCGCGCAGCTCCAGCAGGTACTCGGGCACGTGCGGGTTGAACTCGATGGCGCGGCGCATGGCCTCGAGCGCGGCGAGCTCGGCGGGCGCGCGCGGCGCGGCGCCGGCGGCGGCCCGCGCGCGCAGCAGCGCCGCCGTGTAGCACAGCGCGGCCGAGCGCGGCGCGTCGCCGTCGTCGTACCGCGCCAGCACGGCCTGCGCGTCCGCGTACGCGCGCTGCTCCAGCAGCACCTCCAGCAGGTTCTCGTGCAGCGCCAGCGCGTGCAGCGCGGGCGGCGCGTCGCGCGCCAGCTCGCGGAACAGTCGCGCGGCGTCGCGCAGCCGGCCCAGCCGCCGCGCGCACATGGCCGCGCGCCGCTTCACGTGCGCCAGCACCGCCGCGTCGCGCCGCGCCTCCGCGCCGCCCGCCGCGCCCGCCGACGACACGCGCCACGCCGCCTCCGCCGCGCGCCACGCGCGCCGCAGCATGCGCTCCGCCTGCGCACGCACCGCACGCCGTCACGGGCGACGACCGCTCCACGGACATCGCGGACAGGCCCAGAGTTACAGCGGACTCGAATGATTTGGAAAGGAATTTATCACGAAGGCGGTACCGATTTTCCTGCCTCCGTTGTGGTTATCGTAAGCACTCAAAACAATGAAAAAAAAGTGAACGACATTGAGTAAAAAAATTTTAGGCGATCGTATGACAGCGTACAGTGGCTATAGTACTATGGTATTGCAATGTGAGATCGACGATCAAACTCAGGCATCAATGCGCATCGTTCTCGTCTCGAAGAGACCGAGCGAGACCGCATCGCGCCCACTTTGCGCCCCGTCGGACGTAAGAACGGTAGCGTAGCCACGTCGTCCACGAGCCCGGGTACTTTACACCGGCGACCCCGATCACCATTCTGATCGATCTTCCGTCCAATTCTAACGGGGATCGAAATCGCGACTGCCCGAGCCGAAGCTCCGAGCCCTAGCGGTACCGTCCATGACTTCTTCGATGAGGTAGGAGCGTCGTCTCCACCGCCCGCGACAGCGCCGAGCGTCGACGCTATCGCGGGCGGCGAGCGAGGCGAAGTCGCAATCGTAAAGACGAACGTGGCCAACGACATGCAACAGTGGCACGCGAATACAGCACCTCGTGCACGGTGGGCGCGTCCTCCTCGGCCAGCAGCAGCAGCGCGGGCGCGCAGTCGGGCGCGTGCAGCAGCGCCGCGCGCGCCGCCGCCACGCGCGCCGCCGGCTCGCGCTCGCGCCACGCGCGGGACATCGCCTCCTCCGCCGCGCCCTGCGCCGCGCACACGTCACGGCCGCGCCCACACGCGACGGGGCCGGGGACTCCCCGTCTACGTGCCCACGTCACGCGTCGGGGCCGGGGACTCCCCGTCTACGTGCCCACGTCACGCGTCGGGGCCGGGGAGTCCCCGTCTACGTGCCCACGTCACGCGTCGGGGACGGGGAGTCCCCGTCTACGTGCCCACGTCACGCGTCGGGGACGGAGAGTCCCCGTCTACGTGCCCACGTCACGCGTCGGGGACGGAGAGTCCCCGTCTACGTGCCCACGTCACGCGTCGGGGACGGGGAGTCCCCGTCTACGTGCCCACGTCACCCGTCGGGGACGGGCACTCCCCGTCTCCCTGGTGTCTTAAATATTTTTAATTATTATCATACATTGCCAATGAGATTATAATGATTATAATACTTTTAATTGACTAACAGATTTATAACTTTTTATATTTAGGGGTGCACTTAAATAAATCTCTTGATTACTTTCAAGACAATTTTTCCAACACCGTGACTTATCAAGGTACAAAAACTAATCTATTTATTAATGCTATTAGAATTAATAAATAGATTTAATTCTTTTCCATCTTGTGTTCTGAGAATACTTTATATGTTAATTTATATTATAATGTTGTTTATATATTAAAAATTCGACATATTTTTTATACTATAAATAGATGACCACACATAATGTGAGAATTGCTATTATTTATTTTATTTGAAAAACCAAAGTTACTTATATATAGTACTGTATCCTATAAACTCATGTTTATATCAAAAACAAACTACTAATCAAAACATGTACAGTGACCCGCGGTAATCCGGTCCCCCTTGTAATCGGACATGGTATATTATTTATTATTGAATATTTTTTTGACAATCTTTGCTAATACATGATTGAACAAGTTTGAACTTGTACGCATCACCACTGTTGTACTCGACGTGTAGGGTATTGTTTTGATTATGTTTCCTTAGTTTGAATTTGACTACTGACATATGATGAAGCTAGCAGTACAGTACAACATGTGTTCATTGTTTACTCACATGTATATGTATCAGCTCAGAAGCGAAAGTCCAAAAACAATGACAATTAAAGAAATATTTGATGTTATAGACCACCTAAATCGTAATGAATCTTTTAGTAGTCGACATATATAATAAAGTAAGATTTGTACTTCAGAGTGCATATATATACATACATATATAACATAGAATCTTATCACTGGATCTGTAATTTGTCAGATTACAAGGTACTCTTTTGCAAAAAATTCTGGACTATAGGGGCCACCCTAGGCCCCCTCTATAATCAGACGAATTCAATTGTCCGAAGTTGCCCTGCAAAACATTTGTCGGATAGCCGGGGGTTCACTGTACTGAAACCCATTATATACTAGATACTGAATATTCGGAACCACAGTGACCGCTCGGAGTCTACAATACTATAGACCGGCATCGGTCATAATCAGCTATGACTCGTAATAAGGGAAGCGTAAGGGATCCATAAGGGTGAGAGTAGAGAGCGAGGGGAGCAGACCTCCGCGCCGCAGCCGAACCAGGCCTGGTGGTCCTGCGCCGACAGGTTCATGTCGTAGTACGTGAGCGGCGCGCGCCGCCCGCAGCGCCACAGCCGCCCGTACTCCGCGCCGCGCAGCAGCGCCAGCGGGTTGCGCCACACCTTGCACTCCCCGCCGCCGCCCGCCCCCGCCCCGCCCGCCCCGCCCCCGGCACCGCCCGCCCCCGCCCCCGCCGCCGCCGCCGCCGCCGGCTCCGGGCCGCCCAGCCACGGGCTCAGCTGCGCCAGCGACATCTGCTCGATGAACGACGTGCCGTACTTGCGGAAGTACCACCACTCGAATATCAGGATCAGCCCCGAGATGAGCGAGGACGTGCCCGTCAGCGCCACGTAGAACTTGGGCGTGAGCGTGCCCAGAAACGTCGACGGGTCCCACATGACCGCGGCTCGCGATCGACCTTCTCCGTCGTCGAGATTCTCCGCGCACCTCACGGATCGACCGCGCCGGGCCTCCGCATGGCGACACAGAATTTATATAGCGACCGGTCGCACCAGTTCTTCTATTATGGTAATTCTACCGGTGGAATTGTATCGGCTTCACTGGCAACGATGTGTCCGAATATCCGTCATGTAAAACGATTTTCACAATAATGTCTTGGTATAACTCTTAATTATTCATTTTATTACAGTACTCAAATGAGAAATAGTATATTTTGTTTATTTACTTCCGACAAAAAGTCAATTCCGAGTAGACAAGTACATATATAGCACAGGTCTCGAGTCGAGAGAATATCTAGCTGACAGTTGACAGTTCGACACTAATGTGTCATTTAGCACAGATCGTAGCAGGGTTAATAACCTTAAAACACAGGCTCATAGGAAGAAATATAAAAAACATTCATCAAAATTTCAGCCCGAAAAAAAAGAACATTATAGGGAAATAAATAAAAACTTGCTTTTTCATTATTCTACTAATAATGATTTTTTTAATTATATGTTAAGATTCTGGATACAAGTCCTTTTAAGCAAAACTTTACAAGTACACTAAAGTCATAGGAAGTTTTGCAATACAAAATTTAAAGTGATTTATGATACCAAAATATTTAAATATTAAGATTCCATTCAATGTAAAATTGATTTATCCCTTCGTATAGGCTAAATTAAATTTGGCAAGTCAGTACGAAATGTCATTGTCATAAAATTTTCTCCTTTGCCCATTCAACTCTATTATTTTTACGTAATCGATCCAAACCTGAAATTTATTATTTGTGAAGCAAAACTTAAAGAATTACAAAATGTTGGGTCGCCTGGGCAGAAAACATGTTGAAATTGCGACATCATTCGCATCGACGGCTGTTGGTTTTGGCGGCGCTGCTTTCGTGACTCTCCTGTACTTCACGGATTGGAAGGTGTTCGTCGCCAACATCCCCTTCTACAGCGGCAAATTTAAGGAAGTCGAGGAAAAGTAAAGTTGACTCGATTTTAATGTTATTTGTGTTAAGATCATTATTTATAGATGTCCCTACACTAGTAAATAAATAAGTTTTATTCAAACTCTATTTTAGTCTTTTAACCACACGTTTTATGTAACCCAATATAAAAATTATATTAATTGTTTATTTCATTTTACGTCATGTGTTCAGGGGTATTAATTAGTTGATTAAGTACTTAGTTTAAAAATATAAAAAACTTCTGATTACATGTGGTTGAGAAAGTGAAGAATTTTTATTTGAGTAGGCCCTGACACCAACTGCTTGTTTAATATTGTAAAGCTATCAGTTCTGACTCATGCATACTGTATGTAGTGTATTGTATGTTGGGTTTAGTCTCTAGTTCCGACCATTGTGCATGTAAAGCCGAAATGACTATCCTAGCCAGCCAAACTCCTGTCAAAAGTCCGTAGCCTTCTGGTGTCTTTACTAGCCTGACAGAATGACTTCACCGGTTCAAGGGATTGTGTATGTTGTGTGTGAACCACTATGCTCTCCAGGGTCATATAAGTAACTGTTTCTTCGGTTTCAAACAGCCCCCATGTAGAAGACTATATCATGTATTGTATACAAGTGTTTGTTTAAGGGACTGGCCTGTTGGTGTCCCTATCAGTATTTTGAGGTTTTTGCAATTAAAGTTTAGTTAGTGTTTCATCACACTGTTTGTAAAGACTCACTATCCTACTGGCATGGCTACATATCTACTCATTGGGTACTTGCACACTCACACAATATATAAAAACTTACAGTAATCTGGGCCACCAGGCAAATAAAGGCACTCACCAAGGTAGACTGTGAAAGTGTAGTAAGCTGTGTTTCAGTTGTATGGTGGTAAGAAAGATAAATATAAATAAATAAATAATATTTGTTCAATTCACACAGTGGCATCTAGACTCAAGTTACGCTAACTAAAGCTTGTATTATGGGTACTAGACAACTGATACAGATACTTAGATATATTTTTTTCGTACATACATACATAATATACATAGAAAACACCCAGACCGATACAAACAACCATACTTGTGAATACAAATGTTTGTGCTGTGTGAGGAATAAACCCGCAACCATCGGAAGGAAGGTGGTGAGTCAAACCGCTAGACCACTCAGGCCGTCAAAGGAGCATCAGTCCTCCTAAATGGCAACACATGAATGGTATTGCAGGTATCACTTGGTAAAGTATAATGCTGTTCATGTATATGGACGACAGTTACCATCATGTAGAAATCAGCATAATTGCCATTATGATGACAAAACAAATATATACTACAAATTTACCACATTTTAAAAATGTTCTAAAAGGTTGCTACTCACTTACTTATCAGGTATATATTACTTAATGTTGTAAAATAATAAATTAAAACAAGTAATTTTATTTATATTATTTATTTACGAGAGATCCTACAGTGACCAAGATTTAAAAAAGTGCAAATAATTTCCTACCTTATGTGATGGTCGCTAGGCATGTATTGTATTACAAATAACACTAGGTAGGACACATTCCTAAGATAAAATAGATACTAACAAAACAATCATTCAATATTTACTAGTGTCAATACAATTAAATAATGTTTAATGTATCTGAAGAAAATCAACCAGTTCAAAGTTGACTCATCAGATTTTCAGCACTTATTTTTATAACAAAGTTATCCAAGGACTCCTTACTATTACTGTCATCCATTCCATTCAAACAATAACTGAAAACAATCCCAGCAGGGGATTGTTACAAGGAACTGAGACAGTATACTTTAAGATACCTCCCTTTTCTTTCAGGTGAACAAGTATTTGCTTCTATCAGGTTAAAGGTCCCTCATGGTGCTACATTCATTTCCAGTGATGCCTTAATAATTCTAATAAAGCAATAACAACTTAGAATTGTTTAACATTGTATAATTCATTGTACGCAGGATGTTTTGTATCCAACCAGAAATAACAGTCCTCGTGAACATTGCTTCCACCCTCTATAGGAATGTGTTAATTTGCTCTATATTACCTCTATTACCTATTAATAACACATTTAATTTGAATACAAACAAGTTATTTATATACCACTTTAGTGAACGAACACGACCAACACTAGACAATTAAATGACTAAAGTATTATATTAAATATACTTAAATAAGTATTAATGAACTAGTAATATCAAACATTCATAAGCTTAGTTATAATTTCCGAGGTTAATATAAGATTATATAGGTACTGTATGTACAGCAACAATTACACGATTCATTTAGTATTTTATACCCAGGTAAGTACCTGCCATCCAGTTGTGGGGTGTCTTATAGGCTCTACGTGTTAATAAAAATTACAATTTGTAGTGTAAATAAGTAGATATCAAAGTTATATATCCGATTTTTATACTTAATCTTATTTTTGCAATAAACTAAAGCTTGAATTCGATGCACTATACAACCACTTGCAAAGTGGAAACCTAGACCGATCAGATCAGAACAGTATAAGTAATCATAAAGTGAAGGAATGCAACATAATTATTATATGTCGACGCCTTTGGCACTAGGGCCATAATAAAATAAAATAACAATAGTTACTAATTCGTTATCTGTGAAATATTTATGAAATCGAATAAATGTACAAATCTACATTTAGTTCCGCATGCCCTGTCCAACATGGAAAAAAGGTACCCACCTAGTATGGAAAATAGGGACGGTTAAGATTAAGTATTAGGCCTACATTTTAGGCATTCACGTCTGCTATATTATCGTTCCTCTGTGACCGACATCAGACCGTTCCGAATGCATCCATTACTTTGTAAACGTCAACGACAAACAATTTCTAATTAGGTGTCTAGCTAGTTAGACAAACCAATAGTAGGTACACTACACTTATAAAAAACTGAAGACTTCTCGAAATATTTTCAACGTATCTACTTAAATTGATCGAGGTCTGTTGTGAAACAGGGATGTTACTCGCACGTGCCAATGTGTCTACTTGAAACTAATTTAGACCTACAGTCTACACGCAATCAACATAACGGTTCTCTACTACTTTGGAATAAACTGAAATCATGTCTGACACTTTCGGGGAATGCAAAATTTTTAAATTATTATCGAAACGAAGTCGAAGCTATAAAAAGCGACTCCTGCGTGCATACAGTGAGGAACACAGCAGCGAGGAGCGCGTAATACAGAGTGTTAGCTTTTGCGTAATAGTTCATTATGGAAACTGATAATAGTACAACGAGCTGATGATGCACCCGGCGGAGAGTGGTAACCGTCTACTGTGTAAGCACTCGAATAGCACCACGGACGTCACGCGGTATACTGTGGCGCCGCTCCGCGGAGTGCTGCGGTGTTATCTATGAATATCGTCGGTGTTTCCATTCGACGGTTACGACCCTCGAGAGCGAGCATCGTGTGGTCGGCGCGGGCGCTGGCAGCGGCGGAGGTCCTAGAACCGCAGGTCGCCGTCTCCGCTGGCGGCGCCCGCCGCGTCCTCGTCGTCGGCCGGCGCCCCCTCCGCCCCCTCCGCGCCCTCACCCCCCTCGACACCCTCGCCTCCTTCGCTGACTTCGCTCCCCTCCGACGCCTCCGCCTCCGCCTCCGTCTCGTTGCTCATCACGTTCTGGATTGACTTATCACCTGCAATGTCACAATCGAGAAGAAGTCATCAATTATTATTAGTCCTGTTAGCCCCATCGCTGGCGCTATACCAGATCGAGTCGATCGATCGACGCTGTTCCCATAGAAATTTAATTCTTCGTGAACTCGCCACTATGAACACTTTCAAAACTCGAGTATCGAGTGTTGCTATAACACACGGGAGAAAGAAAATGACGTTGTGGGTATCATCATATTTAGACATGTTTGTTGTTGGTAACATAAAATATAATATCCATGTTAAGTTAATCGGCTGAATAAACTTTAATGAAATTTGACATGAATTTTAGATAAAAAGAGCAGAATAAGCTTAGTGTCAGGTAATGAGTTAGTTTCGAGTAGTAAGTTAGTGGCCGGTAGTGAGTTAGTAGCCTGTAGTGAGTTAGTACCGGAGTAGGTAGGCAGTGAGTGGGTGTGGGTGTCTCACCGGGGCAGGCGGGCGCGCCCTTGGTCCTGGAGCCGGCGCGCTCGACGCCGTGCGCGTCCACACACCAGCACACGCCCAGCGCCGCGTGGCACTGCCGCGGCCGGTAGAACCCGCGCGCGTCGCACGCCGGCACGTACGCGCCTGCACGCACACGCACACGCACACGTCTCAACGGATACTACGGTATGCCTACCTATGTTCATACAGTTAGCAAAGTTATATACAAGAAACATAGTGTAAAATGTAGCTAATTTGGAATATAAAATGCAAAACTTACGTACTACGCCTAGAAAGTATCCTAAAAATGTTTTATTCGTTGTCAAACCTGCAGATTACAAATCCATATTATTCTTCTACGTATCCAGTATTCTGTAAAATACACCGTCTCCTAACTCACCTAATGAGAATAGTCTCTGGTGCTGTCGACCGATCTCATCTCTTAGGTAAAGTTACCTATGGTTTCCATATATGTAAAATCTTCTTAGGTCGACGGAAACGACGTCGCGCGGCATCACTCGAGCGGCGCCTGCGTGGCATTCGACTAAGCTGTGTAGCCCGAGAGTCGCCGTCCACCAGTCTCGAGACGATAGCGTCACGGTCGCCGCACCGCGAGTACGTACCGGCGTGCGGCTAAGCCCCGCCCCGCCCCGCCCCCGCCCCCGCAGCCCCCGTACGTACCAGCGCGCGGCGCGGGGTGCGCGCGCGCGAGCGCCGTGCAGGGCCGCGCGGCGCGGCGCAGCAGCCGCACCACGCGGCGCGGCCGAGCCCCGCCCCGCCCCCGCCGCCCCCGCCGCCCCCGCCGCCCCCGCCTCCCCCGTACGTACCAGCGAGCGGCGCGGGGTGCGCGCGCGCGAGCGCCGTGCAGGGCCGCGCGGCGCGGCGCAGGCAGCCGCACCACGCGGCGCGGCCGAGCCCCGCCCCGCCCCCGCCGCCCCCGCCGCCCCCGCCGTCGCCGCCGCTCGCACACGATGACAGGAACGGCCGCAGGCATCGTTCGCGCTCGTCGTGTCCTGCGGTCAATGTGATTTACATGATAATGGCTAACTAGGCCGAGGCCGTTCAATCTTTGCTACATCTTTTCATCGTCGAAAACCCCTTCGAGGGGAAACCATGACTTATTATATACTCCAACTGAAACATCTAATGAAAATTTGAACTAAGGAGATCTATAAACCATCCACATTTATTTAAATAAGAGTGGTAATCGATTACAACCTTCAACATTTCTTTTTAATCTATCTTATCACTACGACTGATTTAATCTTATTGTGTTTTTATATTTGAGCCTAAATAAATTAGTGCTGGTTGGTAGTTTGTATTCACACGTTTCAACTTGTAAAATGTGAACTTACAAGGATTGTTTAAAAGAGCAGCACACAAGTTTCTTGCTTATTCTTCTGGTGATAAGACAGCTTTCCGAATAAGCGGTAGATTTAAAAAAATTTTGACTATTCAAAAGTGCTTAAATTAAGTTTATTTAAATAAATGATTTTCTATTCTATTCTATTCTAATAGGAGTGGTAATCGATTACTGCCTACTTATAAAAAGTATATTGCAAAAGAGCTCCATTTATGGTATAGATTCGGGGAATCTCTGTAAGAGTGATTTAAATGCCCTAATCAAATATCCTCACAGTTGCTTCTCGATACATTTACGAAAAAATCAAGTTAGGAAAATTATTGACAGTTTAAAAAAAAAGGTGATTAAACTAATAAAAGCTTACGTAATAACAATAAACTGAGAGACACACAACAAGATTCTTGCTTATTATTCTTGTGATTGGACTAATCACAAAAGCGTTCCGAATGAGTGGTTGAATAAAAAAAATGTGCTATTTGAAAGTACTTATGTAAAATTTATCTTCAAGATTAATTAATATTTCTAATCGTTGAATTACATATACTTTTTCTAATCTTTGCAATATACTCACTGAGAGAGTACAAATTGGTGGACGAAAGGAGACCGTCGCCGTCCGTGTCTAGATGAGCGAACATCCAGCGAACTTCCGGCTTACAGTCGCTAGGAAAACCTGCAACACGGTAAATGCAGACACGTACCTATATGTATACAGACTACTCATTCCAATAAGTATTCGATGAGAGTGAACTTCTGGTGTCTTCACTTTTGGAATTATATTTTAAATGGTCTAGGATTCTACAGTAGTCACTAATAATTCGTCGTTCTATTATAGTGACGTACATCACGTATCTACGACGAATTATTGTTAGGATCTTTAACCAACATTCATCGGATATGGAACCAGAAACTGTTATTGTCACTCATTTCCTTATCAACGGACTAACCTTCTTCCGGTGCAATCGTTGCTCCTGCTTCTTCCATTAGCACCGAGAACCAGTCGAGGAGACGATTCGCCATTTTGTCCAGTGCGCAGCCCTCGGTCCCTATACGTAAGCATGCTCAGGTCAATGGATAACTCTTTTCTATTTGATGCTATTGACACTATTGTAGCTAATGATTTTAATTAATTTACCCTGCGAAAAACGTCGTCTCGAGGAACGTTCTGATAGTACTTCATTGTGAGAGGATTCTAACTTCCGCTGCCTCCACTCCTGTAATAAGTATATGAATTATTACTATAACAAATACTATACAACGAGTACTGAGATTAATAGGTTCTTTATTAAATGGAATGGCGTATCCGTCTGCGTAATAGTACGGTGTGACACCAGAGGAAGGTGATAGGATGAGGTGGTAGTCAGGTTTGTTTGTCTATTGCGGGCCATTCACTAGAAGCTAACCACAATAATTTCGATGGAGACAGATTCATTTGTGAGTGTTGCGACGTGTTTGCGTTACACTATTCAATGATGACGAAGAAAGTGTTCAATGATGTTTTAATATGTATAGCGGGAAATACAATCGTAAGTGTAAATGAACCAATTGCATTCTACGAGTGCATTAATTAAATACTGATAGCATGATATTGCCAATTTTTATTTGTTTTCATTGATGATTTTGTTTACTTTTCAAATATATTTTTTTTCGGGCCAGAGACGAATCCAAAAATCAGAAATCATTAAAAAGGGACTACTTTATACGAAAATATTTAATGTACGGAATAAAGTGTCTTCAATCTACTTCAAATACCAAAATCGATAGAAGTATTTATTATGATATATGAATTAATTTTGTACCATAAATTACACATTGTATCCAATAATGCCTCCTCGCCTGTACTAAAGCGTCATTAAAATTGACTACTGAGAGTGAGTACTGACGTCTCTGTCGCGGGCGGGTCTAAGGAGTGAGTGAGTACTGACGTCTCTATCGCGGGCGGGTCTAAGGAGTGAGTGAGTACTAACGTCTCTGTCGCGGGCGGGTCGGAGGAGTGAGTTAATTAGTGAGTGAGTACTGACGTCTCTGTCGCGGGCGGGTCTAAGGAGTGAGTGAGTACTGACGTCTCTATCGCGGGCGGGTCTAAGGAGTGAGTGAGTACTAACGTCTCTGTCGCGGGCGGATCGGAGGAGTGAGTGAGTGTACTGACGTCTCTGTCGCGGGCGGGTCTAAGGAGTGAGTGAGTACTGACGTCTCTATCGCGGGCGGGTCTAAGGAGTGAGTGAGTACTAACGTCTCTGTCGCGGGCGGATCGGAGGAGTGAGTTAATTAGTGAGTGAGTACTGACGTCTCTGTCGCGGGCGGATCGGAGGAGTGAGTTAATTAGTGAGTGAGTACTGACGTCTCTGTCGCGGGCGGGTCTGAGGAGTGAATTAGTTAGTGAGTGAGTACTCACGTCACGGTCGCGGGCGCGGTGCGGACGCGGGCGGCGCGGCGGCGGGCGGGAGCGCGCGCCGCACGGACAGAACCCGCGGCACGCCGGCCGCACGCTCGCCGCCCGCCCGCCGCCCGCCGCGCGCCCGTCCGTCGCGCGCGCGCCGCCCGCCGCCCGCACGCAGTTGTGCAGGTCGAGGCGACACAGCGACGAGTACGTGCGGTTGTCGGAGCCGCACAGGAACCGCGCGCGCCCGCGCACCGGACACCCCACGCACCTGCAGCAGACGAGCACGTGGCACACGACGCGGGCTGTACTGCCGAACTACGGCGGCGGTACTTTGTAATTCTTATAGTAATCAGTTACTATAGTCGTTTTATGATTCATCAATGATGAATATAGCTATCTAGTGTGTATAGTTGCTCATAGATGTCATTAGTTACTCACAGTTATTTAATTATTTATTTACTTACACAACTATTATTACAGTCCTAAGCCCAATACAATAATATATCTAATTACCCACTGAACTTAGTCACTATAGTTGTACCTTGTAACAGCAGGGATCTAGTTATTATATTTGTCACATTATTATAGCTATATAGTTACTAAAACATGTAGAAGTAAATGTTAATACAATTTATTTAAATAAGAGTTTTTTTATCGGTTTTTTAATATATTGGGACTTCCGCCTACGCATTCGCTAAAAGTTAAGTTTTCTTAACAATCTGGCGTCCAAAGGCTATGGTAACCATTAACCATCCAGCGGGAGCCTAAGAATTAAAATAAATCCAAATATATACGTATAAAAAACTGTGAAACAAATAAAAGAGAAAAAAAATCCATTAATCATCAGATGGGCCCTATGCTTGTTTGCCAGCATCGTAGTATAACATACGGGGTTAACATTCGTGTCGCTAGTGAGCGCCGCCGCCGTACTTATCGGGTTTGGTTTCCTCGGGGACCGGGTCGTCGAGGGTGCGGTCGAGTCGCGCGCTGCCGTCGAAGAACACTTCGTCGTCGTCGTCACGCTCCCGCCCCGCGCCGCCGCCGCCCGCCCACCCTTCAGGAGTCGCCGCCACGATCACGTCGCTGGAAAGATTCACCATACACTCACCCTAAGGTATAGCCCGAACACGTCACGAACCACACCGAGGACCTGTCATGTGTCCTCGGTGTCCTCCTAAGGACTGAGACGACAAGTCTCAGAGAAAGTTTCGCACACAACTTGCGATGGTTCGATTCCTCACAGGGTGCAAACATTTGTTTCATGAGTATCATTATATGTATTGGTCTGGGTGTTACCTATATATATTACTAGCTACTTGCCCCGGCTTCGCCCGGGTGTACATGTTAACTAAAAACCTTCCTCTTGAATCACTCTATCTATAGAAAAAAACGCGTCAAAATCCGTTGCGTAGTTTTAAAAATTTTAAGGAATCTTATGTATAGGAACGGATAGACGTCGACAGCGACTTTGTTTTATACTATGTACCTAATAATGAAATAAATAAATATGTATTTACTAAAAAAATTTAAAATGTATTTATATTTTTATATCAGTTGTCTGGTACCTATCACACAACTGCCTGACTTAGGATTACACGGCGTTGTGTGAAATTATGATTTATGAATTGTCTAGGGATATTATTTCAAGTAACATCAAACTTTCACTATTCCAGACATCTTTAATATTATATAATCATACAGCATCAGACAGTACATAGGTATGTACTGCATGAAAAAAAATGTATTAAATAGCCTCACCCCCTACGTAGCAGTTCTTTTTTGTTGGCACAGAGTGCGGTGAAGGCGTCACGTAGCACGCACACTTCGCGCTTTTTGCACACCAGCGACTGACACAGAGAATCTGGAAAATATATTTGTTTTTGTTAAAGAGAGAAATCATCCCGCATGATTACCGCAGTCCATGTAACAAAATTATCGATGCGCTATCTCTCTTTAAAGAATGTAGTAAGGCCAGACAATATGTTCTTCTCGTTCTCGTGGGTTACCATGTCGAATATCTTCCGTAACGCCGTTATGACCAGTTGGCTTACAGAAAAAAGAAACCATTTAATAAATTCCACAACGAAGATACAGGGGAATAAAAGTACTGTGAATTGTACTGTGAGTGTCGGGCGTCGACGGCCGAGGACAGTATATGTATAACCGTTCCCCGTTAGGTTGAATTGGCTGGAGGTAAAACATAAATTTATCATCTCACGACTCGTTTAAAATTATAAAATAAAACACTGCAATACATGCACTCAGAGTTTTGGGATTCGTGATTCTGGCTGCGCAGAGTAATGAGGACCACGTTCTTGACGATATAGGTTTACTATTACCTACCTATGTTTATTCTGCGTCACAGGAGCAACTAATTATTGATATTACGTGATGCATGCCTAACTTTACAATACTTACTGTTCGGATCGTAGATGTATCTCCGGGGTCGCCGCGGATGCTGCAACAATCCGCCGCCGCCTGCGGTCTCCTGCAACAGCCCACGCAAACATGGTCAGTTCAGTCCCAAGGCCATATATATTTTACCAACACACAATATAAGTCCCCAGTTCTGTTGTGTGCAGGTACGAGTCACTTTAATTTCCTGTCTAGACATCGCTCATGGCCTGATGGCGTCATTCAACCATAATGTCCCATGTACACGCAATCACGCAAACATAATATAATCAGGTACGGCAGGCAGGCAGGCAGGTACGCTGTGCGATATTAGAATACCTACTCGATGATTTTGTACTAGTTGCTGAAAATTTGTAGATACACTGTTATAAAGTAGAAGCAGGCACCTACGACTGGGTGAAACTCAATATTTTTCCTCAACATACATGAATTCATTAAACGATAATCTAAATGTTACTTATATAATTAGTGCGTCAGGCATGTTCGCGGAGTACCGTGTGGATGGTTTTTATGCTACAATGCGCCCCTGGTGCGGAGAGTACGTGCCAGTACCAACAGCATCCTGAGCATGATTGCGGACAGGTTGGACTGTGCGTATGTTAATCACTGCTGTGCTATTTCCAAAGGAATGGTACAGCGGTGATTTTTATATTTGTATGTGAGTGTATTTTAATTTATTTTAATATTAATTATTGATATTATTTATATTTTATATTTGTGTGTGTATTTTGCGTCTGTACGTACTAACGTTAATTGTAAGAAATCTGTAATATTAACAAAATGAGCAAGTTAGCCTGATAATAAATAAATTATTATTATTATTGTTATATTATACTACAGGAGCCCTAGGAGGGTTGACGTTAGGCAGGTGGGGCAGGCAGGCATTCTCTCGTATTTTGAGTTGTTTATGGCTCACCTGATGGTAAACCGTTCCCTCAGAATGAAAAACAGTTGTCTAAAGTTGGCATTGTTTTGTCAAGTTGACAAGTTGGTTTGTCATTTATAAAGTAAGAAAAATAAATTTAATGTCAACGTCGCTCAGCAAAAATGTAGAAAGATGTCTCGCTTTTGGAATTTCAACCTCCAACGCTGTAGAGGGGTGGAAATATTAGTACGGAAACTGAAAAAAGTGACCGATCTGTATGAAGTATTTTGATCTGAATGACGGCTTCGATGGTGAAAAGCGGTTTCTACAGTTGGCATTGTTTTGTCGATTCCACACAGCAAAGATTTGTATTCATGAGTATGATTGTTTAATGTCAACGTTTTCTACACATAAAATGTAGAATTATTCTCGCTTTTGGAATTTCCACCTCCATGTATCTGAATTTCCCTGTTGATTTGTTTAAATTGATAATTGTATGTGTATTTGTATGTATGTATGTAAGTAGCTACGTACGTGTATGTAGTTATATTTATATATGTATAATTATTTATTCATATTGTGTATTATAGTTTATAAGTATATTCGCATATGTATTTATATTTAATCACATTAAAGTGATCTTCTTATTACATTTTTTTTAGATTTGAATTTCAATTTGTTAATGCACCGCCAACATGAATCTCTGTTTGCCCATTGGTTGACTGGGAGAAAATGTAGGTGTTAAGTCCGTCATGTGTACCTTTATTTATGTATTTTTTTTTAATAAATAAAATAAAGAAATAATTATGTATTTAAGAAAAAAATATCTATGTATTTATCAGTTATCTAGTACGCACATCACAAGGTTTAGGTAGCTTAGCTTAACTTGGGTCTAGATGGCCTGTGTGAATTGTCCTGAGATTGTTATTATTTTCACAGCTTATACTGGGTTTTTATTATTATTTTATAATGTTGGTAGTTGATGCAAATGATGTAAACGTCTATAAAGTCGTTCCTCAGCCGGTACATAAGTCCTCCCGCGGGTGCGGTGTGCCCTCTGCACTCGCCCTCATTTTTATCCGGCGAAGCTCTACAGGGCAGTCGCAGCAAATAGCATTAGAAATCTATTTACAGTTTGCCGTACACTTGTTTACTTCATTACATTATATTCGATGTTGCCAATTAATTGATTACCAAGTACACATTATTACATATGAGGCCATTATATGTTGTCCTATTAATATTTACACGAGTGGCTCGGCGTGTTCCCATTCACTAACGAGAACTAGACAAACTAGCTTGGTGAACGTACATACATACATACATAGCTATGTAGTCACCTAACACGAAAATATTTTTATCATTGTATAACACGATATTTAGTTTTTTTTCTGTGGATACCTTATTTACTGTATGTTTTTGGGTATGGGTAACCTACCCATTCAGGTACCTATTGTACACGAACTGCTTCGGTTACCTCTTTGGTTCTTTTTGTACTCGAATATGCAATATCATTTTATATTACACTTTTTAAAGAATAAAATACCTTGGAATTTGTAATGCCTACGTAGATAGATAAATGTGGTCGAATAGAACCGTACTGTGGTTTACAGCAGTTGCCATACAGAGTGATCACTATTCCGCTGTCACTATTACCACAGTTAACATAAAATTCTATTACTAATAGTTTTGATTACACAGCGGCGGTTGCTTTTGAAGCCTGAATATTTATTAGTTCATGGAAATAATCGTGGTCATTTCATGCTGAATTCGCCGCGATGGATTAAGTGTGCTGGTTTTTTTTATTCTGTTATATATGTCTATCGGTAGCCATTGTGGCACCATCATTTCATTAATTATAGAAAAAAAAACGAGTCGGGAGGGACTGCAGTAATTTAATATGATCACGTTGCTATAATTTGATTGCAAGCGGTATGGGTACCTGGGAAACAAATGTAGGATATAGTACACTCAGCTATAATAGTAGATAGTCTTTTACCACTAGTTCTAGAGAAGCTAACTTTTCGTTACGATGCTGTAAGCTATCCAACTATTTGACATCACGTCTTTCATGTTTGTAAGCAACCTTTCCGCTTGCAGACCCATAAATAGTATTTGGTCTGCAGTCCACATGAAGGGCAGTGCAGACGAGTATAAACTACCCCTTCCATCTATCACACTAAAATAACAAATAAGGTTTCTTCAAAAATGATTTCGCTCCTAAATCCCGAAGGATTTAAATGTTAGTCAACTATTACTGCAATAGTGCAATTCGTCGGTTTGCGTCATTCAAGGACGTTCATGTTTAGTATAATTTCGGCCAATCGATGCGAGCATGTGATCATTCACGGCAGGCTACACGGAACGAAACCTGTTTGTAAAGAGAGCGGCGCGGTGCCGGGTGTGGGGGCGGCGGGGTCTCACCGCGTCGTCGTCGAACTCGAAGTCCTGGTCGAGGCGGCGCGACGCGGCGTCGGCGGCGGCCAGCGCGGCCACCGCCACCAGCGCCGCCGCCCACGCGCGCGGCCGCATGCTGCGGGTCCGGGGGCACCGGGGACACCGGGGCACCGGGGCACCGGGGGCACCGGGAGCGAGTGGAGCGGCCGACGGAGCGGCCCGCGACTGCGGCGGCTGGCGACCGAGTGTGCGCGCGCCGCACCGCCGCCGCCGACACCGGCCGCCGCCGCGCCGCGCCGCACGCCGCGCGGGCTGCCTACACCCGCCCTCCCTCACAGAGACACGCTCGCATATTATGACTACTCGAGATGTTCACTTTCAAATACCTCTTACATCCTACGTTTAGCCACAGCTCATCATTATCATTATCACTATTACATAGTGTGAAATAAAGTCGCCGTCGCGTCGCCATCTGTCGCTATGTATTCTTATGTAAATCTTTAAACATACGCAACGGATTTTTTTTTAATAGATAGGGTGATTCGAGAGAAAGGTTTATATATATATATAATACATGTACACCCGTGCGAAGCCTGGCCGAGTAGCTAGTATAGTATAGTAGATGCACAAGATATTGTTAACCTTACACACTGCTAGCACAGGTGATTGCACCGTTCCATTATCATCCAAATCAAATAAAATCTAGACGGTCCAAGTGGTTTTAATTCTTGTTTCGTCAAATTTTGTAAACACACTGTCTTCTATTAGTGTAGGCATAGAAGGTAGGTACTTGTATGTATGTATGCCTACCCTATGTAATTAAAAACTTTTTGAATGCGCTTTAATACAAATATGTAGATATAGATAGTTAGTAGTTAATAATTTAATAACAATAGATAAAATGTTGCCTATGTTAGTTTAGCAATTTATAACAGTTTATCGTATAATGACAATTTAAAAATAATGTTTACAATGAAAGATTAGTGAAATGATGGTTCATACGTTATATATAATATAATATATTTAATTTTTACAGGACATAAAGTTAATTCATTATTATTTTATTGTACACTTGGATTTCGTCTTTCTATAATGTTCATGCCATGTCGGCGATACTCTCCTATATGCATCATCTTGAATTGCTGGCGCTAGCTACCTTTTGTATATTATTTAATCTATGAAACAGGCTCCGTGTGGTCCAAAGGGTATCCCGATCCCCGCGCTCCTCTCCCCCGCTCCCCCCCCCCCCCCCCCCTCACCGCTCCACGGCCCGGCGGCGTGCAGCCTCCCTGCTGCCTCCACGCTGGCCCTCTCGCCTCCCACATCAACTATTCCGTACATATTAATGCGCTTATACACCTCTCCGAGGTCACAAACTAAACTGACGCGAATATTGGACATGGTTTGTTGCAAGATATACATATACAATACACACAGGTTTGTGTGTACTGTACATATATGTGATTTTAAAGAAGTAACTAAACACGTACGTAACTAATATTATACTGCGACAATTCGCGTCCATGCATTAGCGCCATTGATGGGATGACCCCTACTTACTACGACATCCCGTATATTATACAAACATACCCTCAGGTCTGATTCTATTGAATTTGAAAACATTTCTACACTTTACGTACAAATCAAATTGGAATCAATTTATTTGACGTTACTTATTGATACCCTACGTTCACTTATTGATGTAAACATAAAATATGAGTGTAATGACAAAGTATTTAATACAAAATTGTTTGTTTTCAAGAGAGCATAAATATTATTGTTTATTAAATATATATTTATTGCTTTTGATATTTATAATTAGAAACACAAACAATTCCATTATAGTATATTTTTGGGTTCTAACTTATAAAATTGTTTTTTTTTTGTATAGTTTATAATTTCGAAATAATTTAATTAAATATAATAGTTGTTGTGTGAAAATGGTTCTAAGTGAATTTAATTTTGATGTAAATGTGAAACGAAGTTATTTCTTTCAGCAATAAGGCCGCCTCATTATAATTATACTTCCACGTGTTCTTCAATATATTATTTATGTCTTATCTTCACTGTATATTACAAATAAAGTACCTATATTCTATCTCTGAACTACGTTGTTTTCAAATTAAAAATTAGGTATACGAATTTACTAGCTGTCCCGGCAAACGTTGATATATGTAAATAAATATCGCTATTAAAAAATAGGAGCTAGTGGTAGAATGGTAAAAATTTAAAGCTGTAAGATTTTTTTAATGCTACATAATAATAAATTTAAAAAATTGTCGAAATCATGAAAAATAAAATTTTAGGGATATAAAAATTTGTTATAAACCTATTCTTAGACCTCCTGAATACACATATAAAATTTCATCAAAATCGGTCAAGCCGAGTTACCGAGGACTATAGACACGAAACCTGTGACGCGAGTATATTGTATGTAATATACATAATATAATATAAAATATTTAAGATGAACAACATTTATTTAAAAGAGTCACACGCAAGTTGCTCGCTCGTTGCTGCGAGGAATTAAGCTACTTTTGTTGCAGCACCGTTGATCTATATAGAATTGCGATATATTTATAAAATATTTTAAAATTTGTATGTAAAACTAGCTGAACGGCAATAGTTGTTATACCATATAAAGTAACAGTTAACGACCGCACACAGTAGGAAATTATTAGAGTAGATACTAATATCGCTATAAAAAAAATAGGGGTCGATGGTAGAAGGGTAAAAATTTTAGGGTGACAGGTATATTTTAATGCCGAATTATAATCAATTGAAATAAAATGATTTGATTAAAAAATAAAACAAAATGGGGTGGACCAGTTAGGGGCAGGAAAATAGTTTACGTCGTATTCTCAGACCTATTGAATAGGTATACACAAAACATCATATGAATCAGTTGGTTCGTTGCAAACACTGTGACACGAGAATTTTATATATCGATATATAGATATTTTAATATACATTAAAATATAAACTGAAAGACTGAAACATTTTTCAGTTTATGTGTGTCAGTAGCGAACAGCGAGCGAGCGTAGTCCGTAGTCCGGCGCAGTGCAGGCGGCGAGTGCCGGGTCGGCGCGGCGGCGCGGCGGCGGACGGGAGCGGGGGCGGGGCGGGGGCGGGCCGGCGACCGCTGGGAATAACACACGAAAATACTTTATTTATTTTAATTTAAATCTAGACGACGGCGGCAATTATTTAGTAGAGCTAATTTGGCGAGAATTAATAAAAATATGTTATTAAATATAATAATAATATAGAAAATAAATTGTACTTTATTTTGATCGATACACGCGGCGCCGCGCACTGACACTAGGGCTGCCACCCGTATTTTATAATAAGTACGTTATTTCAGATAATTGTACTATATACTTTATATGAATAATACACGAAAATACTTTATTTTAATTTAAATCTAAACTGTAAAGATTCTGTGCAATTATTTAGTAGAGATACTAATTTGTTACAAACTGCGAGAATTTATAAAAATATATTATTAAATATAATAATAATATAGAAAATAAATTGTACTTTATTTTGATACTATGCACTTTTTTTTTTACCAATGTACTTTAATTGAAAAAAAGTTGGCAACCCTAACTGCTACTGACACGATTACGGCTCGCTGTATTGTCAGCAATTGAGAAACCATGATGTAGTGTAGGCTGGTCAATCGTACAGTGCGGCACAACAGGACCAAATTAGAAGAGCTTCAATTGGAATGTCTAAGACAACCAGCGAGACCTTGCTCCAACAGATTACCAATTTTTCGAAATTTGGATAACTTTTTGCGCGTTGGGGCGCGGCAAAAACAAAAGGCAAATGTGCATAAATAGAAATGGTACATACTTTGATTAAATAAATATATTTTATATATTATTTATTTTGACCTACAAAACGCCAATTTAAATTTTTTAGGACCTAATTATTCAGGCTTATTTAGATAAAAAAAAAAACAATGTAAACAAAAATAGCTCGAAAACAAAAACACTTAAAATATTGTGCCGCCACGCAAGACCGATTTCTCGAGTTCTCGACTTTTCTCGAGCTTGATTTCTCTTATATCACTCGTAGGGGACCCACGCACCCACACGTGACCTGCCGCCCGAATGTTTATTCAACTAAGCTATGACATATTAACCGCTTGTGCTATCAAGTCTTTTGTATTAATATTTTTTTCCAACGGGCGACAGGAAAAGTTCAGTGTACAGACTCAATTGAGAACTGGCAAGAAAGGATTTCATTCTGGTGGAATAACTGAAAAAATAAATATCAAAGAAATCAACACCAGTAATACGCAGATCTTATCTCTTTTTTTATAAATACACATAATTATTGGACAGCCGCGGGGGGATAGTGGTTTAGCACACCGCTTTACTATCCGATGGTCGTGGGTTTGATTCCTCGCACGGTACCAACATTTGTATTCATAAGTACGATTGTTTGTATCAGTCTGGGTGTTTTCTATGTATAATATGTATTTATTTACAAAAAAAATGTATCCATCCTATTAAGCTTATATCAGTTGTCTAGTACCCATAAGACAAGCTCTGTGTAGCTTGAGACTACATGGCGCAGTGTGAATTGTATTGAGATATTATTACTATTATTACTATAATATACGTAAAAAACATACAGACAGAACAAGCAATGAGAATGATTGCTTGTTCAATGTTTTAAATGTTATTACTGCGCGAGGAATCGGACCCGCGACCATCGGAAATTAAGGAGGTGTGCTAAACCGCTGGACCACCGAAGCCATCAAAAAGCAATCTGTTACACATCATGACCATAACAGATACAACATGTTATTAGCATGTGTTCTCGAAATTTACTCGTTGCAACAGTCCTCGTCGACGTCTCCCAAGACGTCTCAACACACAGACAAACGAAAATAAAAAAAGGAAAATGTTAAAGACCTTCCAGTATTATTCTACAAGAATCTTTAAAATTTATAGTTTTAGGCGCAGATAAAGCTACTCCGATGTTTTTGTGTTCTTTAGATTGAGCAAAACGGACAACTCAGACCAGACATATCTACTGAATTCGTCGGATATATGGGGGAAGGGGGACAAATCCAGGCATTGCCATCCGCTACTGCTACAGCAGCCAAACCACTGACAGGTCACACTACAATTGTCAAATGGCTATTCTTGAAATGTTCAGGCGGCCGTTGCTTATAAGCATCAACGCTTAATATTTACTAATATTTATATCTACATGTGTCCTATTTGGATGCTTATCTATGTCGGTCTTGGGTTACTATATTTATGTTGCTCGTACTACAAACCAGATCGCTATGCCCACATTATCTGCAAAAATTCATGTTACTTTGGGCTGATAATAGTATCGTGTTTATGTGACGAATACGATGAACATTGAATGTTATCTTTGTAGTAGGTAATGCTTGGAGTGGTTCGTATTGCGGCGCAGCTGTGTAGTTGTGTACTCGTACATATACTCATGTAGTACACGTGCACACGCCACACACACCTTTAGTGGCAATAGGTAATTACTTGATAAGATTGACACGCCGAAGTTCTGACCCTAACATTGCACGAACAACCTTTGAGCCCATCGTCTCGGCGGTCGCGGTGGTGCGGCGCCTGACACATGCGGTCAAAATGCGTTTTTGTTTCATTCGCACTGATGGCATTCGACAGAGTGCAATCAGGGCGAGTGAAAGAGAATTCGGAACAAAACCATATGTCTAACCGCCTGGCCATCATGATAACAGCTCTTCTGTTTACTCCACAGTACGACGGTAAAAGATGAATTCGGTCGGTTATTACGGAGGTGGCAAATTTGGTTGCAGGTGAAGACAGAATAAAATAAATTGCGTCAATTTTATTTAGCGAATAACTTTAATTAAGTATAAATATAAATATCACATAATTACAGAACATTTCGTAATTACTAAAAACACGGATGCGAACTTTATACCCGAGTTAACGTTCTTATACTAGGAGCACAGCGGGCGCGCGGGGGGCACGCTACAGGTTGGCCAGGTAGTAGCTCTTGTTCACTGCAACAAAATACAATACACAGTAGAAATAAAACACCTTTATACAATTAATAATACTATAGTCGTAGTACGAGTACGTACCTATAGATGGCATGGGCTGCAGTAAATACGTGTGTGCGTTCCGTCGGTACCTGCGGGGGCGCCGTGGAGTTTGTGGGCGGCGAACGGAGCCACGCCTGTCGTCATACCTGTGGGGATCGTGACCGCGGCGGCGGGGGGGTCGTGGTCCCTGTCGGGGGGTCGTACCTGTGGGCGGCGCGGCGGCGGGCGCCCCCCGCGCGGGCGCGGCCGCCAGCAGCGCGGCGGCGGCGAGGGGTCGTGGTCCCTGTCGGGGGTCGTACCTGTGGGCGGCGCGGCGGCGGGCGCCCCCGGCGCGTCGTGGCGCGGCCTGTGGGCGGCGCCAGCGGGCGCCCCCGCGCGGCGGCGGCGCGCGGCGGGGGTCGTGGTCCCTGTCGGGGGTCGTACCTGTGGGCGGCGCGGCGGCGGGCGCCCCCCGCGCGGGCGCGGCCGCCAGCAGCGCGGCGGCGGCGGGGGGTCGTGGTCCCTGTCGGGGGGTCGTACCTGTGGGCGGCGCGGCGGCGGGCGCCCCCCGCGCGGGCGCGGCCGCCAGCGCGCGGCGGCCGCGGGGGGGCGAGGTCCCTGTCCGGGGGTCGTACCTGTGGGCGGCGCGGCGGCGGGCGCCCCCCGCGCGGGCGCGGCCGCCAGCAGCGCGGCGGCGGCGGGGGGTCGTGGTCCCTGTCGGGGGGTCGTACCTGTGGGCGGCGCGGCGGCGGCGGGGGGTCGTGGTCCCTGTCGGGGGGTCGTACCTGTGGGCGGCGCGGCGGCGGGCGCCCCCCGCGCGGGCGCGGCCGCCAGCAGCGCGGCGGCGGCGAGGGGTCGTGGTCCCTGTCGGGGAGTCGTACCTGTGGGCGGCGCGGCGGCGGGCGCCCCCGCGGGGGGTCGGGGTCCCGGTCGGGGGGTCGTACCTGTGGGCGGCGCGGCGGCGGGCGCCCCGCCGCGCGGGCGCGGCCGCCAGCAGCGCGGCGGCGGCGGGGGGTCGTGGTCCCTGTCGGGGGGTCGTACCTGTGGGCGGCGCGGCGGCGGGCGCCCCCCGCGCGGGCGCGGCCGCCAGCAGCGCGGCGGCGGCGGGGGGTCGTGGTCCCTGTCGGGGGGTCGTACCTGTGGGCGGCGCGGCGGCGGGCGCCCCCCGCGCGGGCGCGGCCGCCAGCAGCGCGGCGGCGGCGGGGCGCTCGATCCGCCCGGGGCTGCCGTCCACCGTCACGTTGGTCCTGCGTCAGACAAACGATCGCACCGACTCAGTGTCGCGCTCGGACACACACATGCTCCGGTGAGCTCGCGAAAGCCTTCGCTGACTACGATACGTACTATTTAATAAACGCTAAAAAATATTATGTCTCGATCATCAAGTTGGCTTTAATAATTAATAAATAATCTAGCTAACATACAAATTTACAATTTCACAAATTTAAAAACGACGCATGCATTGAAGAATAGTCACATCGAAATACGGCCATTATAAGCATTTATACTGAAATATAATTTACTGGCTGGGCCCGCGGCTTTGTCTTTATTATAGTGACCTTAACCGAATAGTAAAAAAATAATCTAACCCAAAAATGCCAACGAAAAAAGATTCATGTATGACGATTTTCCGTACAAATTTTCATCCCCTATTTTATTTTACCTCCTAAGGGTAAAATTTTTACAAACTTTTTTAATGACATTTATTTATATTTAATCAACAGCTTAAAAAATATGTTTCAAGGTTCCAGCATTAAAAATTAACTTCCATACAAAATTTCATCTCTTCTTTCAACCCCTTTTATCGCATTAAAAAGTAGCATGTGTCCTTTCTCAAGGTCTAGACTATCTGTGTACCAAATTTCATGTAAATAGGTCCTGTAGTTTTGGAGTGAAAACGAGACAGACAGACACACAGTTAGTTTTCACATTTATAATACCTATTAGTAAGGATTATAATACGTACTTGTTGATATCCGTGGCGTGGGACACCTCACCCTTCACCAATGAACGCCAGAACTCGTGCACCTGAAAAAATATTAATTTTGTTTCATACAAAAGTAACGAATGTGACAGTATTAAAGAGACGCCTTGTTGAAGGTCGAAGATAGTAATGGTTACTTGAAGTAGAACCAGTGTGTGACTGTGCAGTCCAACTATATTTGCAATCAATAACAATATATTTAATTCATTAAATTAAACTGAAAATACAGTAAACAGATCCAACCTTTTTAAATATATAAACAACTATAATGTCTATGACATCATATAAATAATATATATATATATATATATAGCAAGGTAATCAGCGTAATTTGTGTATCATCTTGAAGGGGACGACTATAATTTATGAAGATCATTAACGAACAAAGGATCCATCTGTGAGCCTTGAGGAAGGGTTGATGGCACTAGGCCTGATTTGGACTTCAATCCGCGTACTATAATGATTTTGGAATAGTTTCTTCGGTTGGATAATGATGATGATGATGATGATGGATGGATTCGAAAAGTTTAGTAATAGTTGAGAGAATTGAAAATAGGCTCCTGGTCCTTTTTTTATATGTAATGGATTTCCGCAACGCGGCCGGTACCGACCTCGTCTATGACCTTGTAGGCGAACTCCTTGTCCTTGGCCTCGCCGTCGAAGGCGAACTTGTTGACGGGCTTGCCGTCGGGCACCTTGTAGAGCCGGAACCACTCGACGGTGGCGCGCAGCAGCCCCGGGAACAGGCGCTCGACGTCGGCCACGTCGTTCAGCTGCGAGGCGGCCGGGTCGCGCGCGTCCACGGCCACCAGCTTCCAGTCGGTCTCGCCCTCGTCGATGAGCGCCAGCGTGCCGAGCACCTTGACCGGGTAGACGTCGCCGCGCGCGGCCACGCGCTCGCCGATCTCGATCACGTCGACGGGGTCGTTGTCCCCGCGCGCCTGCGTGGCCGCGTCCACGTGCTGCGGGTTCTCCCAGGTCTGCGGCAGCGCGCCGTAGTTCCAGATGTAGCCGTGGTGCGGGAACACGTTGTGCACGAAGCGCAGCGCGCCCTTCTTGACGTCCTGCTTGATGGGGTTGAGCGGCTCGCCGAGGCTGATCTCCATCTTGGCGTTGGACCAGCGCGGGACCTCCACCACCATGTTCACGAGCCGCCGCTCGCGGTCCGCCCACAGCGGCACGTCGTGCAGCGGAGAGATCGGCCCGCGCTCGTCCCCTGCGACCGCGACCCACCCACGGTTACACGCATACTTTATACACACATACCTTACTGCGCTCATACAACTATAGCACTAAACTTAATTATACAGGTACACCGCGAGCAGAGGTGGACTCGTCTCTAAAACAGATCTCTACCGGTCGACCCAGCACTGTGGCATAGCTAGTAGTGAGAGAGTAACACTAGTACGCCTAACAGTAAAATATCTTACATTTGAAAATAATCTGAAATAATGATTTAATTGTATCATTATAATAAAATACACAACGATTAATAAAATAAATATAAATAAAGGACATATACACATACACTGACAGAAGTATTATATAAACACAAATACAATTATTGCAAATATCTATATATATTACACAAAATAAATATAATAAAATACCAATACATATAATCATACCGAGATAAGTAGTTTGATTTTAACCTTTTCTAAAAGCAAACAATTGATGGACTTTCCTGTATCTGTAAAGGTAGTTTGTTCCGTAACTGAGCGGCGCGAAATGAAAAGGAATTTCCTAAGAATTGAGAGAATGTGGAAGTTTTAACATTTTATAGTGACTTTGGCAAAGCCACCTCGACCTAGCAGGAGGGAGTAAGAATTGAAAGCGGGAGTTAAGGCAAGCAGGAGCATTGGGATTATTAAAGATATTATTGTTTTCTGATTTCATTAACATGACATGTCCATGACATTGTGCCAGATTTAGTTAGATAAGTCCAAGTTTTTATTTAGTCCGCATATGCGAACTGAATACCCTCATATACAGGTGGGGGTACTGTAGACCAATCCAGCCTGCACCTCAGTCTGCTGCTACCAACAATCGTAACTTGGAATTTGTCAAGATTTACAACAAGACCGAAAGACTTAGCCCACGCTTGTATTGCTAAGAGATCACACTTTAATGCTGTAATTGTTTGACAGTATAATTGTAAGTCATCTGCATACAGGTAGTTTTATGAAGTTGAATGAGTAAGCAATGTTTTGGAATGAAAAGGGACATATTATCTTTATTGATAAATAAAAGATGAAAAGTAACAAGCATACACAATAATATCTCCTAATCTCAACTTCCCCTTGTCAAAATATAAAACTTTACTTCTTAGTATCTTTACTGTGACTGTGGAATAACATACCTCTCAACAACTCTTAATGCATACAGTCCATTATTTAATAAAACTCTCAATATTTTCGGTTACAGAGTACAATTTGTGCAAACAACACCCACACTCAGTGTTTATAATTAGTAATAAATAGCTACTGATAAGAAATATTCATATATTAAGAGTGGAGGGAAGACTATCAAAAATTAAAAGTAGTGGCTACATTGCTAGCTATGTACAATGTTAGGTTGACTTTTTATATTTAAAACTAGCTGTCCCCTTGACTTCATCCACCTGAATTTAACTTTAGTTTTCTAAAATAAAAGTAGCCCAAGTTTCTCTATCAGGTACCTGCCAAAAAAGTCCCGTCAAAATCGGTCAAGCCATTTCAGAGATTAGCCGGAACAAACAGACAGAAAGACAGACAGACAAAATTTGTAAAAAATGATATTTTGGTGTATGTACCGTATTTATATTCATATGCTTGTAGTAAAAAATGGTTATTTCAATATTACAAACAGGCACTCCTAATTTATTTATATGTATAGATGTATAGATTTGAAGAGCAAGAAGCACATTTGGTATTCATAACAATTACAGTAAGAATATCAGCAGTCAGTGTGATTTGTATCAAAATCTTACAGAACACAAAACAGTATTTTGTATGAATTTATTTTACAATAGAAAATTATAGTTTCAATTTCTATATACATTTGAATGATTTGATTTTAAAATGTGTATGTATGGCATTAAAAGGTTAACCCTTTTAATGTCATACATATTTTACAACTACGATTTCACAATATTTTAAGCAAATATGTATAGGAATTGCATCATAGTAACTATATAGTAAACAGTACCTACAAAGTTAGCAGTAAAAAAATAATATCTAAATTATGAATATGTGGATCAAAACAAGTAATAAAAGTAAAACCAGTCATGTATGGAGTCAATATATTTTCAGGGTAGGTATTTATTAACGGAACAATGTCAGTAATGAGTTTACATAACATTGAAAATACTTCCTTGACTTATCTGTTATTATACATAGGTTTTGATAACACATATCTCTCAATTAATCCACTCAACAGTAAATACATGATTATGATATACATACCTACTTATAGTTATATTTGTTGGCAGGTCTTTGCTGATTATTTAATTTAAGAGATTAATGACAGCAGCCATTCTTTTTATTAAGTTTTATACACAAATGGAAAAGTAGATAATGGTAGGTGGATTTAGTTTGTAATCGCTGGTTATCAGAGATAGTACATTGGGGTGCAATCAAAACAACTGACAAATATTGAGTTCAAATGTATGGTTAGATTAGTAGTGTCTAAAATGGAACACTGAAACAAATTGGTACAACTGAAACAAGTTGGAATTAACAGTCATCATATTGGATGTATGTTACATATATATTACATCTACTACATCATTAGTAGCTAATAGTAATATACTTTCACAACGGTTGGTTATACCAGACGCGGTGACGGGCCATGAAAGTGTTCTCAACTGATGATTCATTATAACACTATAAACGGCCACATTTCACTGTTACATTTCAATTTGTTAGGGTTACTTGTTAATATTTGCATCTTTGGAAAATCTAAAAGTAAAACTAATATAATAATATACAATATTATCTGTGTAACCAAAAAAAACTGCAAACTATACTATATCCAGTGTAGTGTTTCTAAGGATAGGTGGAAATAATGGTACTTGATACAGAGAGACAGTAATGTCAGTGGGTACAGCAATATAACACTCGGCACAATGTAATACTGGCTACATTAATGTTATTTAATGTGTATATTTCTGTGCAATAAGGAAATAAAAAATTATTTCCTTATTGCAAAGAAATATGAAAAATTATATGTAACATTGTTGCACACTCATTGTAGTTTGATAGTAAGCTTGTATTACTCAAATGTACAACCCGCCGTCCACATTCAAATACAAGGACTATTTTAGAAATAAGCATAAATAAATATATTTCTTTTGACACTATAATACTGACTATTGCAAAAATAGAGTAATATATACTCTATTTTTGCAAATTGTATGTAATTAATATCATTATTTAATTTCATTACTTATGTTAACAGAATCCAATATAGATCTGTTCTGCTATTTATGAAGGCTGAATTTGTTTTTAACATGACAGATGGGTAGGTACTACACTGCTCAATATTATATGGGACTACAATCCAAGTTTGGTTTCCGTTTTAAAATAAAATTCCCCATAGTCAAGTGAGATGTAATAAGGATATATGTCTACATGTTTAGTTTAACAATTAAACAAATATTGTGATGACGTTTACACAGCATTTGTCAGGCAGAGTTGACGATACTCACGACGACGATTTGACCTTTGAGATAATATGACGTACGTATAAGACTAGTTGAGATCCTAAGCAGAAAGCGGACCGGAGACCGGTTATTAGGATTGTCGTTATAAAAACATATTGTGTGAAAGTGTATGGCCAATGCGACGCTCTACTTACTGAAGTATACCCGGTAATCCGGTGTGTACTCTGATCCTCTCTCTTCGGCGGTGTACATGTTGACTCGAGTCCTGCTCTGGTGAGACGGTGCAGTTGACGCCGCGTATCTACGACACTTAGCACTAAAACCAACTTCTGTACTGCCTACTGAATACAATCGCTTCGCAGTTGTGGATAACCACGAATACGTTAATGCGCAACGTGATACTGACATTGTAGCTTTTGACAATTTTGACATTTACCGGTATCACGTCACTCCGTCTTGTTGTTTTGACATTTTTTTTGTAGTCTTAATTCATGACCATAGATACACTACACATATTTCAATTGAAGTGATAGGGCACAATTATTAACAATATAATATAAAGTTGTAACGCAAACATAATATTTAATATTATTTTACGAAGAATATTGAGTGTATTTGGCTAAAGCCCCAGAAGCTAAACCTTTCATTGAGTTAACTCGTATGTGTTTGGCTGAAACAGAATTTCCAGGGCCGTAAAAATACTGAATAAAAAAAACTTTCATTTCATTATATTGATACAAGCATATGGACTATGAATAAGCCTTAAATTTTGAACACGAATGAAAGCATAATGTAGAAACTTACAAAAGAATCGGCCTTTGGCCTCATCACTTATACAAATATGAAGAAGTTTAAACGTAGACTAGACTGTACGGTCTCAGGATCTTTGCCTGTTCCATCATTGAAAAGAAGATGGACGAATATGGGAAAAAAATATTTTAGTAGGAATATGCTTTACGTTTATTAAATTTTAATTTAGTAGTAACGTTAGGAATGACTACTGTTGCACAATATTTACAGTAATTTGTACAAATGGGTTTCTACCAAACAGCAACATCGTATATGATACGATCCAAATATTTTATTGCATTGCAAATTGAAGTGAACCTTTGATGTATCGAACATAACAGGATCTCAGATGGGTACCAAGTATATAACAGAGCGAATAAAAGTAAATGAAAGTCCCTTGCATCCCTATTGTATTGTATTTTTTTTTTTTTTGTGGATGATAATGGAATGGTGCACTCGCCTGCGCTAACGGTTTACGCTGGCGGGGCACCAGTGGAGGATGATAAGATGAGCATGAGGTCAGGTCAGTTAGCCCATCGTGACAAATTCACCAGGAATTTAACACGATGGTTTCCAGGGGGAACCGCGCGGAGGTCGACCTGACATGTTACATTGCTAGCAATGGGGTTATCAATCCACATTACTAACAATCCCTTTCCCCCCTATTGTATTGTATTGTATTGTACAGAGTTTGATTGGTAGTTTACATTAGTTTTCTTTTAAGATTGTCAGTTTATATATGATTGTATATCGCGTGGGCTACCTATATATGTATATCGCGTTCTATATAAGTTTGTGTATTATATAGAACGCGATATATATGCATATACATACATTCGTCAAATCCAACCATAAAACCTGTTTCTCCATCTATCCTGTCATATTTCGAATAATGATATAAATATAGAGCAATTATCAACAGTTAATTGCTCTTGACGGTGTTGCCACGCGATGAGCGCGACAATACTTAATTATTACCAATATACTGTTTTTTATTTAAATCCCGGAGACGAAATTGATGTGACCATGTAGTTGGGCAGAGATACCGATTTAGTTTTTTTTTTTTCGAACAGTTAATTATTTTTTTATTTCAAACAGCTAAATATGTTATATGAAATACTAGCGACTCGCCCCGGCTGCGCACGGGTGCAATGCTGATACTAAATACTAGTATACCTATCTACTACAGAATGTCCTTATAACCAACGTTTACAGCTTTTTGTCTATACCTAGGCACACGCCGGCGCCGACCGCTGTTATGTCCCTGCATTTTAAATCTGTAATATCGTCGGAAATATTCATTAAAATTACATGCTTCAAAGGGCCGTATTGATCTATATAATCTATTAAATGGATATAGATCTATTAAATGGACAATGTACTTAAGGAACTTAATTGGATTCAAATTAATATCTACTGTATAGCTTAAAATCACTTCGTAAATAGGCCATTTTTTCCCGTAAAATGCCTGAAAATTGGTTATTGTGGGTTATCCTTAAGAGATAGACATATACCATCCCAGACTTTTTTGTTGACCTTTTTAAGGTGTACAATATTATAGTACATATATTATAGTATATCATTTTGATTTATCTCGCGGCGGTCAGACAGCGTTTGCAATAAAATGTTTTTATTTACGACATTATTTAGAAACCTCTAAATGTATCAGTGTTTCTCTACAATATAATGCATGTATTCTACGTATAAACCTTCATCTTCAATTGATCTATCAGGACGGACAGACAGCGACAGCGACTTCATTACATAGTACTAGTTACTCGCCCCGGCTTCGCACGGGTGTACATGTATTATATATATAAACCTTCCTATTCAGTCTATCTATTAAAAACCCGCTTCAAATTCTGTTGCGTAGTTTTATAGATTTAAGCATACATAGGGACAGACAACGACAGCGACTTTTATTTTATACTATGTAATGATGATGATAATGATAATAATGAAACAAAGTCGCTAATAAATATATGTTTAGTTTGTTATTGTCTAATTTTATAAGTTTGTAATCTTTTTAAATTATTGTCAATATTTATGTTTACTTTGTTAGTTGTATATGTAATATTATATTATCTGTGGTTGTAGTTTAGAACTTAACTTAACCTGTTAACCGGGAGTTCCCTTTCAAATTATGCAACATGTACCGGGCGCGTATTGTTTCGCTAGGACATGTCAATACGTCATGCCCGGATACCGTCATTTCATATTTCTATGTATAACATAAAATAAATGAAAAACTATTAAATTAAATATACACCGTTTATTAATATTGTTGAAGTACAAAAGGAATCACAAAACAAACGTTTATGTACTTTTACGTAAACAAAATAGAATTACACAATAGGTACATATAAAGATTCAAAGCTTAATTTGTGTGTGATATATTTTAAAACAATTATTAATACATAATGCTACACTACAATTCGAACGACAACGAAAATATACGCTCCGTCCGTTCCAGGGCGCGAATCAATTATCGAGGACGTGTTCATATTGCTATATGTCCTGCCCGTACCCGATATTGTTTACTCCTGATGCATTCATGCGTCTTGTCCGGTTAACAGGCTAATGTGCTATCGTCGTCGTCGATCTCTTATTGTATTCATTTACTAAGATAGGCCATAACAGAATAGCAGAGAGGCTGGACTGCTCACTCACTGCCCCCTCTGAGTTATAGACCGTTTTGTGTCGTTCATTACATTTAAATTATATTATTGTATGGGCAACAATTGTATTAGTTTTTGTTTGAGACAAATAATGATGATTATTATTATTATAATGGTAAACTAGTGAAAGATGCTCTGGTGTGCTTAAGTTCAATAACAGACAAATGGGAGTTCGACGACTTATTACGCACCCTGCAGAGTCGTTGGGCTACTATAGACTCGTTACACTGGGAACTGGAAAGCGAGTTGGAGGGGTCTAACCAGGAATATGAACAGACTTTTTACAGTTACATATGAAGAGGAGTTTAATAAAATAAAAAAGGCACTAGACAAGAAAATGTGGGCGATGGTACACACAGCAAATTCAACCCCTCAGTTGGACATACCTACGTTCCAAGGAAATTATAATAGTTGGGTTTCCTTTAAAGATCTCTTTACGGAGAGTATCCATAATAATCCCTCCATGTCCAACGCACAAAAAATGCAGTACCTGAAGGGAAAAGTAAAAGGGGAAGCGGAAAGGCTTATTCAACATCTTCAGATCAGTTCTGATAATTATTCTGTGTGTTGGGATATACTCAACCATAGATATAATAATACAAAATTAATATTTACATCGCATATTAATACATTGATGAACATTCCATTGATGCAGCAGCAATCATTAAACCATATTAAACGCATTCATGACACATCGATGGAATGCTTGAATGCCATTAAAAATTTAGGAATAGATACTGGAACATGGGACCCATTGTTGGTACATATATTAGCACAAAAGTTGGATAGTGACACATACAATGACTATATGGAGTCATTAAAAAACCCTAGAGAATTACCTATATTAAAAGAATTTTTGATATTTTTGGAAACTAAATTCACAACATTGGAGTCCGCACGTAAAAAACAAGACAACTATACATCAAAACCTAATAGTCAATTCACAAATCAAGGAGGTGCATATTATAAAAATCCATTTAATCAGAAACATAATTTTAACAAAAATACCTTTTCATCAAGTGTACAAAATTCCTCATCAAATAAAAACCTACATGTTAGTTTAAATACTAAATACAACTGTCCAGTCTGTAATTCCAGTGACCATGGAATTTATTATTGTCGGAAATTTTTAGAAATGCCTGGTTACATGAGAAGGAAAACAGCTGCCAAATTAAATCTATGTAATAATTGCCTTTATAATCATAATAGAAAATTATGTTAAGGGCCGTGGTATCAAGACCACAAAGGGATATGTGGCAGTATTTGTTTGTATGTCTACGAAAGCAGTACATCTAGAACTTGTATCAGATTTGACAACGTCTGCATTTTTAGCTGCGTTGCGACGGATGGCGGCAAGGAGAGGCGTACCCCGTCACATTTACAGTGATCAAGGAACAAATTTTATTGGGGCAAACAGAATATTACAGGAGGAATATAATCATTTAACGGAAATATTTAGCAAGGAGTTCATGTCAGAAGTATGAAGCATGGGTATAGAATGGCATTTTAACGCTCCTGCGTGGCCCTCGGCAGGAGGATTATGGGAGCGGTCAGTACAAACCCTAAAATATCATCTTAAGAGAGTAGTAGGCGAACAGAAACTTACATTTGAGGAATATAGCACGGTGCTCTCCCAGTTGGAGGCATGTTTAAATTCAAGACCTCTTTGTCCTATGACAGAAGATCCCAATGATCTAAATATTATTACACCTTCTCACTTTTTATGACTTTACTTCCCACCTTAAACATCTGTGAAACAGATAATATTTAAAGATATCTGGGATCGATGGAGTAATGAATATCTTACTCAACTAGCAACCAGAAGTAAGTGGAGAAAGCCTCAACAGAATATAAAAAATAATGATATTGTAGTTAATCAGAGATGAAAATCTACCCCCGGGGAAATGGGCTATGGGTCGCGTAGTTGAAGTGCACCCAGGTAGTGACGGACACGTGAGAGTAGTCACACT